GAAAATTATTTTTTCATGTAATTGGGAGAATATCAAATATTAAATGAAAATAAATTTTAAGGAAGGAAAGATAATAAATTCAGAAGGGAACTTAGAAGTCATCTTTACTTCACAGAGGCCCAGAGGTGAGAAAAAACCCACTTAAGGTCCCCTGAGGTCACTCAGTCATTAATTGGCAGTGCTAGGATTAGAAACCCAGTCCCAATTCCAAATCTAAGGCTCTTTCCATCCCACTTTTCTTCCCTCAGCAGCATTTCAGAAGGGTTATGTTCAAATCTGGGAGTCACGCTTTAGAAAGGCTACTGATATACTGGAAAGTGTCTAGAGAAGGCCAACAAGGTTTGGGAAGGGCCTCAAGTCCGTGACATGTAAAGAGAAGTTGAAGGAACTGGGAGTGTTTACCCTGGAGAAGAAAAGATTTAGGACAGATGGATGAGTTTTCTTAAGGTATCTGAAGGGCTGTTGTATAGAAAGGGGCTCAGCCTTCTTCTGACTGGCCCCAGTGGAAACAACTTGGAGCAGTAGGGATAAGCTGAATAGGAGGTAGGGATGTGAAAACAGATTTAGGCTTAATAAAAGCAAATATCTCCCGATGATTTGGGTTATCTCAAAGACAAAAGGGCTCCTTCACAGGAGGCCAGTCTCTCTGGTATCCCTCAGGTAAGGCTGGATAACTACTTATCAGTAATTTTGTAAATGGGCTCCCTATTCAGGGATGGTTGAACCAGATGGCCTCTGAGATCCTTTCCAACTCTGAGTTTTTGAGTTTGAGGATAAGAAAAATAAAGGTAATGATGGAAAATATTAGAATGAGTTTAATAACCACAATAACTATTAATTGTATCATATTCTTATAGTATAATTATATGTTAATAATATACATTATTAACCTATATTATATGTTATATGTTAATGTGTTATATATTATATGTTAATTATATATATGATATATGTGGCACTTCCACATTTATGTACATTATCTCATCTGACACTCACAACAACCCTGAGAAGTAGAGTAGAGGTATGTTCTCTTATTTTAAGAATGGGGAAACTGAGGCCTTGAGAGGCTAAGTGTCACACAGCTAATAAGCCAGCAAGGTAGAATTTGAACTCAGATCTCTCTCACGCCCATACTGCCTCTTAAGCTATCATGGAGTCTCAGAATCTTATTAAGAACCAGAGGAAGCCTTAGAAAGCCTCCTTCTTTTCAGGTTACAGATGAGGAAGCCAAGGCCTCAAAGTGGGAAATGACTTGAACATGAGATCATAAGGGTGGCAAATTGTGAAGGCCTGACTTGAACTCAGGTCCTCAGGCTCCGATCCAACGTTCTTTCCCTGTACAACAATCTTACAGGGCATTATGCCAGTCTCTACAGTGTCTTTGTCAACTAGTCATGCTGCCCCTGGTGAGCCCCTCAAATGAAGGGGATTATTGCACATTCCACTTGCTGCTTGTGTGACCTCAGCAAGTTACTTTTCCACAACAGATCCCAGTTCCATCATGGCAAAAAAAGAAGTTTGGAGTAAATCATCCCCAAGGTTTGCTTCCCACTCTAACATTGTGGCTTTCTGAATCCCTGGTCAGCCTTCCAGATGTGGAAGCTCTAAAGGAAGCGTCTTCCTTCTACGGAGCTGATATTTCCCTTTCCACCATTTCTCTCCCTGTGCTCTGGGAGGGAGAAGCACGCAACATACTTCTGTCTCCTCTCTGGAAGATATAGAAGCAAAAGGAGGAAGTGTAGGGAGAGTTTGTAGAACTCAGCAAGGAAAAAAAAAACATCAGTGCGGGGAAGATGTCTCTGGGACCTCTGGAAACAAGGAGAAAACATTCCATCACACTTCACATGACAAGGTTTCAGTTGTCTCCCTTAATGTTTTCCCTTAATCTTCATTTCTCTAAATGGTCTCCAGTTCTGTCTCTGTGTGTCTCTCTCTATACCCCTTCCTTTCTGTCTCCTCTATCCCCATCTCTATGTGTCTGTCCTCTTTTCTGTCTCTATATGTCCATTTCTGCCCTCATCTCAATCTCTTTATCTTTGTCTTTGAGTTATCCCTCTGGCTTGTACCCTCTTTATCTCTATTCTTCTCTTTCTCTGACCATCTTCCTGTCTACTTCTCTATTTGCCTCTGTCTCTCCATCTCTCCATCTCCCTTACTCTAGCTCTGCCCCTACTTCTTTCTGCTTCTATCTTTCTCAATCTCTGTTTTCCCAGATCCTCCAGCCTGTTTTCCTCTTTGTGGACTTTTGTTCAACCTTCCTTTCTCTCTGTGATACGTAACCTAGCTCTTCCCTACCTCATTCTGGACCCAGGGAATGTGTGGGCTGGAAGGGACCCCACCCACCAGAAATAATCACCCTATCTCCAACAGGTCTGGCGACTTTGGAGGGGAGTGGCCCCATGGAGGGGAGTGTGGAAAGTCCCCAGCTCTGGTGGTGCTGCTCACCCCCCAGCTAACCCTCAGCACTCAAGACTTACTGGAGTCTAACCTCAAAATCTTGCTTCAATAACATAATTTCTGAGCGTAGAGGGACATCAGGGGTGGTCTAACCCAAGACACTAAGATACAGAAATCTCCTCTACAACAGACCTGATAAATGGTCATCTAGGCTCCACATAAAGACTTCCAATAACAGGGAACTCAGTACTTCCTGAGGCAGCCAATTCCACTTTGGAAAACCCTAACTGGATGGGGAATTCTTCCTTCCACCCATAAGAAATCGTCCTCAACAGTTACTTCTCCCTATGACCACCATGCTCCTTGTTATGGCCAAGCAAAAACACTAATCCTTGTTCCCTTGGCCAGACTCAAAGCCTTGGAGACTGTTATCACCCTAGCCCTTCCCCTCTGCCTGCCCCAGTCTTCTATTCTCAGCGATAATCCTCAATTTCTTCAATTGATCCCACCAGACCACTAGTCCTTCCTAAATAATGCTGAGTGGGTGGGGACCACCAGTGGTCCTCCTATCCCTCAGTCCCACCCAACTCTTACTTAAAACTCTATCAAATTAGCTAAAGGCTAATGCCCCAATGAGTACTGGGAAAATGGAGGGAATCATCCCCCTTTATCTACTGGTGATCTGGTCTGCCTCTGCTTCTTTGTACACATCTCTCTGTCTCTTCTCTGTGTTACTGCCTGTATCTTTGTCTCTATCTCTATTATTCTGTTCATTCTCTCTATCTCTGTCTCTGTCTCTCTCTCTCTTTTCTCTCTCCTTTCTCTCTCTCTCCTCTCTCTGTCTCTGCCTGTCCCTCTTGACTTATCTCTGTCTCTCTTTACCTCTATCTTCCCTATATCTATCCATCTTTCTGGGTTTCCCTTGGGAAAGAGGTTCAGCTCTTTGGAGCTGGGCCTGGGACCCAGGCATCAAGGTGGGGACCAAAGTTGAGGGCATTTTCCCTAGTAAGGGAGATGCATAATGGGATTCCTTCAGAGCACAGGGAATGGCATTCCTGATAAAACTCTGAAGGATCCTGGCTGCCTTGTCCCCTCCTCACAGCCTCTTCCTCCTCACTGGGCCTTATAAGAAGGCCCTCCCCACCTCCCTGTCATTTTCACCTCTTCAGTCTGCTCAGCCTCCCCTACCATCCCACCTGGATCTCTGCATTTTCTCAGCCTTCTTGCCTTGACCAGCTTCTTACCACTCCTGGATCTCCCCATATCCCCCTGTTCCCTAGATCAGCACCTCCATTTCTTCCAGCCTCTCCTCCCTCTTTACAACGTGGCTTCTATTCTGCCCTTGTCCCTTAGCCTCCTGGAGACTGGATAGTTTCAGTCTTCCCAGTCTCCTTGCCCCACTAAGCTCCTGGACTCCTGGGGTCCTGGAAATTCTGGACCTTCATTGCCTGGCTTCCCTAACCTCCCTAACCTCCCTAGCCTCCCTGATCTCTCCATTCTCTCACCTCTCTAGATGACTGTAATGCCGCTCCCTCCTCAAATGTCCCAAATTCCCAGACTCATCAGACACCACGGCCTTCCTCTCACCCTCAGTCAGCCTTCTTGGTGTCTGAGGTTTCCTGACCTCCTCATCTCCCTTGGCTGTCTGGCTTTCAAGGGCCCTTGAATCCCCTGGTCCTAACCTCTCTGGTCTCCTCTCCTTTCCGCTTCCACAGATTCAGCCCCCTCACTTTTCCATTCACCTTGGCCTCTCTTTATCTCTGACCTCCTGAGACCCATCCAACCCCTCTTGTCCCTTGGCATCTGAACCTCCTTTTATCCTGAGCCTGTGTGGCTTCCTCAGCCTTCACACTTCACACTATCAGCCTTCCTTGACCTTCTCAAGCTTCATGGTTGTCTCACTCTCTCCCAGCCTCCATCCCTTCCTGGCCTCCCTACATTCTCCAGACAAGGAACAAGGCACTCTAAAACCATCTGGTTCACCTTCCTCATTTGACGGTTGAAGAAACTGAGGCCCACACAGTGTAAACAGACTTGGCCAAGATCACCAAGGAAGGAAGTAGGTTTGAACACCCAGGTCAGCCTTCCAATCCACAATTTCTATTGCATCATTCTGTCAGCCTCCCAGGTAACTACAAACCCTTCAAACTTCCAAGGCTCCAAAGCTTCCCAACCTTTTCAAACTCTCTGGATCCTCCAGCCTGGGGTTCTTGACCTTTCTTGTGGGGCACAGACTCCTCAGGCAGTCTGGGAAAGCCTAGGGACCCCTTCTCAGAGTACCGCTTTTAAATGCATAAAATGAAATACCTAGAATTACACAGGATGCCAACTGTATTGAAATACAGAAGTAATTTTCTTTTTTTCATCTAAATGCATAGATTCTCTGAAATCTATCCATGAGACCCTTGGCCATCTGTGGACCTCAACTTCTAACTCCCTGTGTTTTGGCCACCAAGCATCTTAGCTTCCTTAGTCCCAGATTCTCGGATCTCAATCCTCCCAAAATCCAAGACCTCTGAGATTTCCAAAGGCTGTTGCACTTTAATAATTACCCAGATACCCTTTCCCCCTTCCTGGCTTGGCAGGATCCTGGGGCCACTCACGGTTTGCGGCAGTGGGCAGCTGTGAGTAGCCATCGGTCACTGAGCAGAGTAGCCCCACAGAAGAGACGGGTGAGGAAAAAAAGGCCAGCCTGCCAGGGCTGTGAGTTTGGGATGCATTCTTCTGCCCCAATGGTTCTCGTGTCTGTCCAGCCCTGCCCTAGGGAGACAGAAGACAGGTCCAGGGTCAGTGGAAGCCTGATGGGTTAAAATAGTAACCTGGAGGTGGTCCCATAGACTTGGGGACAGGTAGGCAAACAACATACTAACTGGCAGATGAACAGTCATGTAGAGTGAGAGGCCAGAAGGCACAGAGACAAAAGAGTTCCAGGCAAACAGACAGTTACATAGACTAAACAAACACGAGACAAAGAAGCAGACAGGCAGAAGACAAAAGAAACCTCACCTGCCCAAAGAAGCATGAACAGTGACACCCAGATGCTCCACTTCATGGTTCAAGGCTCCAGGAAAAAGAACCCACTAGAATTGGTGTGAGTGAGAAGGATGAAGGAAACCAGCTGGGAGGCCCCAGACTCCCGGCCTTTAGTCCTGCCCTCTCCCTGGATGCTTTATGAACTGGCTGGGGGCCATCCCCTCCCTTCTTCCTCCTCCTTCAATGATTAATCAGGTTGGGAAATTATCCTGAGGGGAGGGAGCCCCAGGGCCTGAGGGGAGGGGGAAAGCATACCTCTGGGCTGAAGGGTAGCAACCTCCTAGCTTCAACCCCAGACCCAGGCTGCAAAATTCAGGATTAGCTGGCTGCTTACTGAAGATTGGCCTAGTTGTACACACTGTGGGGTGGGACCTGGGTGTGTGTATGTGAAGGGGCCAGGGCCGCACCCCTGAGCTCCCCAAAGGTAAACCCTGATCCCCCACCCCTGCCACCAGGGTTGGTGATGATTAGGGTGGATTTTCCTTCCCCTTGAGAAAGAGAAGGAAGAGGAAGAGTGCAGAGAAGCCAGTGGTTCCCTCAAAATTGAGTCAGGAACAGCAAGTTTATCCTGTATAGGATGTGAATGACCTGTGCCCTTACAAGGACAGTGGGAGGATCTAGTGATAACATGGACAAAATTAGGGCCAGAGAAATTCCCTGAAGACACAGAAACTAGGAGGGAGAGAAGGAAAGATAAAGAAATGGGAAGAGGCCTCAAGACTAGGGAAACAGAGCGAAAGATAGACCTGGGGACTTGGAGGGGAGAGAGAAGGCACACATTCAGATTGGGACTCCCCTCCCAGCCCCTGAGGCCCTGGGAGCAGCTCTTAGAGGCAAAAGCATGTTGGCTTCAAACCAGGATTAGGAAATTTGTGAGCCACTCCCCCAGCAGAGGTAACCACCTCCTCATTCAAGATAGATGATTATACTGCAAGTGGGATGGGGAGAGCACAGAGCCCCTCACATTTCCTCATCTCTCCCCATCTTTCCTCATCTCTGTCTGTCTTCATTTCTTTCCATTTCTCTTCTTCTCCCCCATATCTTCACTCTTCTCATCCCCTCATGTGCTTAGCTCAGCATTCTGAGTTTTACTCTAGGAGTGCAGATTAAAAAATGGTCCAGCCCTTATAATCAAGGTGCTTCCATTCTAACAGGGAGAGTCTAGTGTGGACACAAAAGAGTATTATGGTACCAGAGAGCAGAGTATCCCAAATTATAGAGTTGAAAATAACTTCTGGATCAGTCTGAGGGTCTGGTCATACCAAACCTTAGCATATCCAGTAGATGGCCATTGTCTTTTAACAGTCCTCTAGCATAAGGAAGACCCTTCTGAGAGGACAGAGGTTCCCCCTTTGACTCTTGCTTTCTAGGACTGGGCTCAGAGTGCCTGAGCCCCCACTAGAGATGTGACTGTCAAAAGGAAAAGTCTCTGTTTGGGGACCAGATTTATATCTAAGGAAAGGCCCATGCCAACTGCTGCTCAAAGGGAGTGGGGTCTAAGATCTGCTACAGGTGGATGTCTATGCCTAGGAAGGTTGAAAGGATGACTGTGCAAATGCAATGGTAAGGTCTTCTTGACTCAATTTCCCCATTGTGTTATTTCCCTCTGAATGGGAAAATTTTCTTACCTGTTTAATTTTGAGCCTGGCTATGATACCCCATGAATAATATGGAACTTTGCTATATATTTGGCTATTCCAAAATAAAGATTAACTATGACTCTTACCTAGAATCAGAGTTAAGGATGTTGATGTCAGGTCAATCTGTGTCCTTGAAGGAACAGTCTTGATATTATTATAACCGTACCCTTCCTTCTCTTCATAACAAATTTCTGTAACAAGGACAGGTAAACTGGAAATGTTTACATGCATACTAAATCCTGTTGTAATACTAAACATCTCTGAGTTACTATAATAAGATGCAAATATGAAAGATCTTACTGTTTAAATTTTACTCTTCTGAATTTGTGGTCACTAAGAGTTATATATTCATGTATAAGATTAGGGCCTTAAAGTATTTCATTCTTTCTGGATGATTTGAGGGATAATATATCCTTAAAGGGATATAAGACAAATAGGACAAAAATGTGATATGACAAAGATGTAAAAGTTTTACATTTTAATGAAATAGTAAATTTCAATCTGATAAAAATAACAAAATTAGATTGTTTTCTTTAAGATATGTGTGTGTGTGTGTTGTGTGTGTGTGTGTATGTGATTGACTTTCACATGTTTCTTTTAAGAATGATGACAAAAGGACAAGTATAGGGCATTAAGGTTTGGACTGGTTTTCACCACATGAACTAGTTATTGGAAAACCAAATTTAAAGGGAACACTTTTCTACTAAATGCCTTGCAAATAAGGTCTATTCCAGCATTTCCAAGGAAAAATGTTTCCTACTATCAGATGGCTACATGGGACAGCTAAAACCAGAGATGAAATAAGTTGATTAGATGTAGTTTAATCTGTAACCTGACTTAGCTTACCTACAAAGATGATTTAATTAAATTTGGTTTTGTGGGGTATGTATGAGATAATGACTCCATTTAACTGAGGTTTTTCAACTTTCATGACATTGAAAGAAGCCTGGGATTGGGAATTTGTCTTTTTTTTAAACTTTTTTGTGAACCTCATGGTCATATGTGTTCTATCAATGTGTGTATTGTGTAGTGTATTTGTTTAAGCCCCCTGACTTACAGCCCCTGATGTTTACTTAGTTCAATCCCTCTGGCTATGAGTTGCCACTAATCTGGTCCATATCAGTTTTTAAAGAAATTTTATCGGGGGCAGCTAGGTGGCGCAATGGATAGAACACTGGCTTTGGAGTCAGGACTTGAGTTCAGATATGACCTCAGTCACATAACACTCACTAGCTGTGTGACTCTGGGCAAGTCACTTAAGCCCAATTGCCTCACCAGAATAAAAAAGAAAAGAAAGAGAGAGAGAGAGAGAGAGAGAGAGAGAGAGAGAGAGAGAGAGAAAGAAAGAAAGAAAGAAAGAAAGAAAGAAAGAAAGAAAGAAAGAAAGAGAAAGAAAGAAAGAAAGAAAGAAAGAAAAAAGAAAAAAGAAAAATTCTATCAAGCTCTTGATAAAATCAGCAGAGAAGGAGATGCCTTCACTGATCCAAGTTATTTTATTTTATTTTATTTTTTTAAATATGGAACACATTTCAAATTTGCGTGTCATCCTTACGCAGGGGCCATGCTAATCTTCTCTGTATTGTTCCAATTTTTAGTATATGTGCTGCCGAGGCAAGCATTACCCAGGTTATTTTAAACTTTAACTTAGCTATGTGACAGATGAACTCTCAGAGGTGAAGCCTCCTCAAAAGGTCAATAATTTTTGATTAACATTTTCAAAATCCTCCCCCACTCAGACCCTGTTTTTAAGCACTTAACAGAAAGAATAAGCCCTGCCCCAACCCCAACCTGAGCCATTTGCCCTTGGCTTCCCGCCTCTTTCTTTGTCTTTGAATTTCGGGCCTGGAATGTAAGCCCCACCTCCCAGTTAGAATGTGAGCCCACCCCCAGTTAAGGGGGTAAGGGATAGTGGTGGGTGGAGATTTGTTTTTATAAGGCACCCCTGTTACTCGGTCTCTCTCTCTCTTTCCACATGTATCGAAGGAGCAGACAGCCATCTCGCGAGATTGCAATAAAGGTAACCTTTGCTTTCCACCTTGAGAAGTCTCTGAGTTTAATTTGGGTTAGGGTCGCTGTCCCACACAGCTATCATTTCCATACATGTCCTTTTGCTAGTATATGAAGGTTGGGTTTTAAGCCCCAATGAGGGGAATTGTGGGAAAACTATATGGCGTTATTTGAACCTAGTCCTGTGTGGCTGAGGAACCAGATCTAATGCTTAGAAGCCAGATTTGCTTGATGCTTACCTTGGGACTTGGATGGCACTGACCAGAAACCCAGTCAGATCCAAAAGTTGGTGCAAGGATATAGGGAATGTTTTCCTGATATGCGTCTCAAGGGGAAGCTAGTTGGTATAATAGATAGAGTACTGAGCCTGGAGTCAGGAAGACCTAAGCTCAAATCTGGCCTCAGACACTTACTAATTGTATGACCCTGGCCAAATGACTTAACACTATTTGCCTCTGTTTCCTCATCTGTGAAATGAGAAGGAAATGGCAAAGCACTCCAGTATTTTTGCCAAAAAAAAAAAACCCAAATGAGGTCATGAAGAATATGCCATGACTGAATAAATACATCTCCAACAAACCACATGTCTTATCTGGAAATTGCCTCCATGCTGGCTGACCAGCTGTTGTTTCCTTGTTCCTTTGTTTGCATCTTTTTCTTTCTAAATTATTTCCATTTTAGGTTCTGACAATATACACAGAACAAGCCATTCCCCAATAGACAGCTGGTCAGAAGAAATAAGCAAATAAGCAAGCATAAGGGAAGAAATCCAAGCTACTGACAATCATATAAAAAAGGCTCCAGATCACTAATAATAAGAGGAATGCAATTAAAACAACTCTGAGATTCTAGATCACACCTATCAGATTGGAAAAAAGGACCAAAAAAGAAGACGATTGTCAAGCAATTGTTGGAGGGTCTTATTTACGGGAAGACAAATACCCCAATGCAATGTTGATGGAGCTGTGACTTGGTCCGGCTATTCAAGAAAACAATTTTAATCTATACCTGAAAAAATCATTAAACTATGTGGGTTCTTTGTTCCAGTGTGTCACAATTAGGTCTATACCCTAGAGAGATCAAAGAAAAAAGAAAGTGGTTGACATACACAAAAAAATATACATAACAGCACTTTTGTTGTAGAAAGAATTAGAAAGTATTGGGCTACCCATCAATTGGGGAATGACTGAACAAATTGCGGTATATGAGTGTAGTGGAATATTATTGTAAACTGACAAAAGTGACAAAAGGAATGAATTCAGAGAATCTTGGGAGGATTTATGTACTGATGCAGAATGAAATGATCAGAACTAGGAGAATGATTTATATTCTACTATAACATTGTGAAGAAAAATTACTTTGAAAGACAATGATCCATACAATGACCACCAATGATTCGGGGGGGGGAGGGGCG